TTGAATTATTCAACGTTACATGGCAAGTTTATTTGTCGGAGGGGAGTTCTGAATGTATTTCAGTGCTGTTGATTTAATGAAAATTTATTCACACTTTAAGTTAGTGACAGGTCCAAATCAATAATTTTTAGTGGTAACTTCTATTTAGGAGTAATAGAACAAATCAATCCAACATATTAAAAATAATTTCAATTTTTCTAAACTATACAAAAATTGTTTCCAAAACCTATAAGACGTTTGAAAAATGGTTAAAATCATCTCAGTGGGAGCTGTCCGCGTCTCCTATGACCTTTTACTGGAAACAATACAAGTCAGAGTTCAGGCTTCATGATTCAAGATGAAGAACCCATGCCCACATGTAATGAATTAGTGGAATACAATGTAACGAAATGTAGGGATACTGCATACAGATATAAGAAAGAAAATCACAAATTATTAGTTAAACAAATTCGTAATTTTGTCACGCATGGACATTCATAAGTGAAAATTTTATTATGAAGGAGTTCATCATGTGTCCTCCGTCACGATGATAAAGATTTAAATCATAATCATTATAACATTCAAGCATCATTATAGTCGACAAATTTCCATAAAGTAAATTGCATTTCGAAAATGCATCTAAATGAACATTTCAATAAGAATTCGCAGTTAAATTTGATGGATATGTGCACAACCGTGTACAGGTTACTATTACATACAGAATAAGACTGAAGCGAAAAAAGTTACACATAAGGATATCTCTGCCAAGAAATTATCCAATCACTAATACTACATGATATTAACTAATGCATGGATACTGAATTGGCTTAACGCCGAAGGTTTTTTTACATAGAATCTAACAAATTTAAGCAGAAATGAACTTCAGACATACACTAAGTCCTAACACTAGAATATACAGTATCTACCTTTTAATCTCAGGTGTAACCACACGTCAATACGATCATTGTAATAATAAATTCAGCGGTAAAATAAAAATAAGATATATACACGACCGTAAGGACCAATTACATAAATCGATATGTAAGAAAATGAAGCCATTTTTGATCAAAATAGGAAATTTCGAAATGATTATGGTGCAAGTTGCGGGCTCAGAGCAAATTGCATTTAAACCATTTTCAATCACACGGCAATTTACAATGGCCAGTCGTCGGCTCCTAATTTAAATAACAGATTAGAGTAAAATACATTATTTTCAATGCCGAAATGGGTCTGGAAAGACAGAAAACTTCGTGAAAGCAGCAATGAGTATTGTTTTGCAGGTGACACATTATATTTTCATAACTTCACTGTGTCACATAATATACATTAATAATTAACAACACGGATATTATTTTAAATACAATGTACAGAATTTACATCATCCATGCATGTTTAAAAAGCTGTTTATTTGAACTATTCTAATTCCCACACGAAAACGTAAATGTTCTCGGTTCATGGGTTCACACCTGCTTGAGACACGTTAATACAGCTTAGCCTCATCCATTGCGGATGCGCCTACAGCTGGACACCCCCTAGACTACTTGAAGCTAGCTTTAGATAAAACTTCTATTCATTGAGGTGGCACAAATAAGCAAAAAGATTTCATCAGTCATGGATTATATATATCATATTTTCTTATTGGCAAAGACTATTTGAAATTCTATATTGATATGTGTCATGTGCTGATACTGGGTGACCTTTTCAAGCTGTCTGAAGAAATTAAGTCTGAATTGCTTCGTGAATTCCTCGAACTGAGAAGTTCGCAATAATTAAATAAAGATTTGGAGAAATTGCAATCATTAACAACCGATCAATAATTGAATACGTAATCATTAGAATTAAAATTAAAGTCACATAATGTGGCCATAAGCATAAAGTGATAATCGCCAGTCTACCAAACCTAAATCTTGCAAACAAAGTGTTTTTGATAACCAAGTTTTAACCGCGAATAAAAAACAAGCATTAATGAACTTTGGACTCGTTATAAATGAATATCTATAAGTTTATTTTATGTTATTATATATACGTTTAAATGGGCGTGTTAAATTGATTTTTTATAATAATCGTTGTTATGACCTCTGAAATCAAAAAAGTAATAAAACCAACCAAATCGAAATATAACTAGTCAATATCTTACTATTTGCAGAAAATTTGAAGACCAAAATGTGCAAACTTGTTGATATTCTTCACATGATATTAACTTTGAATACTTAAATGTCTTAATTTGGCTCAAAATAGTCACCCAAGACCTCATCATGACTCACTTCTCGCACACAAGCTGCCGGTGCATTAGCTGCCGTTATTCCGAGCGATACGAACTGCACGGAAGCTCCCGTTGCAGTGATCATCATTGGTCTTTAGTTCATCCAATGCATGATTCATGTTATTGCCTGCGGGCTATTTTGATCAATTATTTGCTCGCCCTCCGTCGTTTGCTTCGGTGCTTTTTGACCGTCGGCTTATTTTGCCTGACGCGGAATATCGATATTCAGGCTTCCTGGCGGTAAATAATCGAACGAAAGAGGGAAGCGATCTTTATGAATGTGACGAGGAAATGAAAGATACCCTTGATTACGAAAATATTTTTCAAAATATCTTTTCAATCACGAGTAAACATGAATCGAGTTAAGAGCAAAATAGATTATTTTTCAAGTTTTTTCAATTGATTTCAGAACGAAATAATTTAATTAGACAAATATTTTTGCTAATACTTGGTATTGTATTTTATTTCATTAACTTTTTAATATTTAATTTCATAACTTTTTATTGGAATATTAACGAAACAAAATATTCTCTAGTCAAATTTCAGTAATATTTCTAAGTCAGTGAATTTGAAATTAAAATTTGTGATTACAACAATGATGCTAGCAAATAAAAATAAAAAAATCTATTAATGAATATCACGGGAAAAGTTTATTGAAATTTTCGAATATTAAAATGATTATTTAACTTGCAAACGCCTAGACCAGGTTTTGAAATATTAGAAAATAAATATGTCGTTATCTGTTAGCGCTGAATTTGGAAAATTTTACTATATTTTCATAATTCTAACGTACTGAAACCTTGTTTTTATATTCTGTCGGCTTTGAGGCAAATGTTGTCCGAAAATAAAAATGATATTTTCGGCTGTCTCAAAAGCTAACGAAGCAGATTTATAAATGCAATTCGCAAAAAAAGGAATGCCAGATCAATGTTTTTCTATGCTTGCTCCAATTAAATGATTTTGAATTATTGAGGAATAGAACTCTACTACGTGGATGATTTAAGCAAACATAAATCAGAATTAGTTACCCGAAAAACACCCTGAAAAATAGTAATTTTTAACATACTTCATATATAACATCGATATTAATTTTTATCCCAACGTTCGCATGATGTTCCCTGCCTCGGTGCAATCAGGGTGCGAGAATCGTATTTGCTTTGCTCGTTTTCGAAGGAAAAAGTAGCCTCGTAAAATAGCACGACTTTTCAGTGTATTGCGTACGCAGTTATGCACCCCTGAGGAGAGCAGACTCGTTCCGTGTGACGGAAAAAATTAGCAAATATTTATAATCAGCGTACGGAAAACTTTAACAGAAATTTGTACCAGAAGTGTATCTGGCTGAAATATATTGTTTCGAGTCTTCAGCAAAATAGAATGTCGAAGACATTTTCGTCAGTATTCTGAAGCCACTTAATTCATATTATTTTAAAGAGATGTACAGGTACTAGAATGATGAGACTTTCATCGCCAGGAGCGAGCATTTGATGTAATTTATAATCCTATTTCCCGGGTTCTTAACTTCAATATTACAGCCTAGAGGCTTCAGCTCTTTGCTCCCGTATTCTGCTTGGTTGAACGTCACTCCGCAATACAGAGTCTAAAGACTTCAAAGAGAATTATGCATAAACAGTCACCATTCAGTTCTGAAACCCAATAGAACACGAAAAAACTTCAAGTTATTTGAATCCTTAATTCTATATAGATGATGAACTTCAAATGGAAATACTTTAGGATATGTTTTGTTTATACCAGTACGTGTATAATAAGAAAAGCAAGATGCCAATATGACTAGATGTCACCTAATGTTTGCAAATACGGTCCTGGGCGAGTTTTGTACTTCTGGTCGGCGTCGGTTTCGTCGACAGAGCTACCGTCGCCGACAGAAGGATCAGGACTGAACCGCCTCACAAATTTCTCGCGGCATCGTGGCTTCAGAACGTCAACCGATGATTTATACACGTCTACTCCTTCCTTGAACTGCACTTGGTCGATGTCGGTCGGTTTGACGATGGAAACGCTGTCGATTTGTGTTTCTAGAAATTTTAGGCTTTCTTCACTACTAGAGCTTATATCATAAGTTGGGATTTCATCAGGTTCTTCATGACTGAATTTAACTTTCGCTTTGCAGGTACGCTGTGAAGAGCGGCTCCTGTGTAGAGGAGTTCCTACACTGGAGTCGGTAGACTCGACAAGCAAAGGGTCTTCGGAGGAGTACTTTGTAGTCCCAAGCAACTGATCTGTCTTCTTCCCACGGCAAATTTGATCTCTTTCTGAATAAGAAGACCAGCTCCCAGTATTCTCAGCACAATCTTGAATTCGGGCCACTTTTACCCCCTCAGCTCCATACTTTGTGACGCAGATCACCAAGTTTGGTTGACTTTCCTGAAATTGAGCAGTTGTGGAACAAGAACTTATCACGTCAATATCATCCAACACAGAATCTTTAAATCCATAACTTAAATTTTCTTTGGCACTGCAATCCTTCATTAAAATCATCGTTTGAGCTCCGTTATGATCAGGTGTAAGTGGCGAGCTGAATTGCCTCTGAGGTTCCAGGTCTAACTCATTTAATGCTGCCGACTGCAAGTGTGATTTATCAGCATATGCATCAGCATCGAAGTCGCTGTTCTCCTGCACTTCCGTCGCTTTTTGTCCTGAGTTTCGACGCAGCGCCGCTGGGCATTCTTGCCTGATTAAAGCTTGGGGCGAATGTTGCTCGGCGCAGTTTTCGCTTTGTTCTACGGCGCTTTTATTTTCCCTAAATGGCGACTTTTCTCATAAAAACGATTCGTTTTCTGCTGTTCCTTCCGAGCGAGTCTTCGAAGGTGTGCTCGGCACGGCCGCTTGAAAGCGTACGCTGTCAGAACCTGGAAATGACAAAGGAAATCTTAATTAAGATGATTATTTTTATTCGACTTACCAGTGGAGTGTTTCTATAACAAGTTCTATTATCACAGTTTCTGCCGTTTTCTTATTTTCGAATTGATTTATTTAGTTTTTATCAATTGATAGGCCAATTCACCTACAATTATAAAATGCTTGTAATAAATCGAGCTTTTAATTTAAATAAACTTTAATCAATGCATTTATGCCCAACTTATAACTAAATGAGTGTTATGCTGCAAAGATTTCATTTTATGTTTAAATTGGAGCAACAAATGGATCCAATTTTATCTTAAGGCAAGTAATCGGAATGAAAAAGTTTTGGATGTGTTTCAAACTAAATGGATTTTGGTTTATGAGCTTTTGCAGATTATAGCAAGAAAGAACAAAGCTTCTCAAGTTATATTATTAACATAATTTTATTTTTTTTCATGATTATTTAATATTCTAATTGCTTCTATTTTGGTTATTTAATATTTTTAGCCATGAAACTTGTGGATTACTTAGGTCAAGCTGAGGTCACATAACAAAAAAATATAACTCAGTACTCACTGCAGTGAGTGACAGAGAGCGCATTTTCTCGTCGACAAAAACTTGAGGTCACGGACAGACGGACGGATAGACGGACAGACAGACAGACGGACATGGCGAGCACAATAGTGCATTTTTCCCATAAAGGAGAAAATGCGCTAAAAATGAAATCAAATGTCGTGTATTGCGAAAAAGAGAAAGACTCGTTGAAAGTTTATTTCCACATAAGGATGAAGTTAGAAGTTTAAATGGATTCAGTATGGATTCAAAAACTCATCCTAGAGTTAATCATCGAATGTATACGGAACGCACAAAAATATTATAGAAGTAATCAAAACACAAACCAAACTTGGGTAATTGAGTTATCTTCATGAATTCTCCGGCAAGAGTGATTGAGCATTTGAAGCAATACTTCCTCAGCGGACGTAATGTTGTAAATACGACATCAAAGTTTGTTATTTATCAAGGAGGTTTGATATGCGTTATCACGCGAACAAGTATGATATCAATAAATTTTTGCATGACTTCATTTGAGATCAGTAGGAGGTTACAGTACAGATTACCCTATCGGAAAAGGTTATTGTGCAAGGTTTGCATTGTGGTTAAAATATCGGAAAATTGTTTAAAAATTAATGAATCGATTGCATAACGTTGAAAAGATTAAATTATCAATATCAATACTAGTATTTTACCTTGGTCAAATGACGCACCAGTAGAATGAGTTTGTGACTTCTTGTAGATTGCGCTGTTCATGGTTAGTTTGCGAACGTTTTTCTCAGGTTGGTATATGATTATGTAAATTTTTGGCGAGTAAAGGCAGATGAGAGCCACGGTCGCCGACAGCGAGATCGAGATGCACAAAGTCGTGATCTGCACCTGAAATTATAGAAAATTTTCGTAGTGCAACGAATGTGTAGTGCGTATTTTGTATTTATAATTACACGAAATAATGTACTGCAACATGACCAACCCATTTCTGTTACACCATGTCAAAAATATCATAAATTCTAAAGTTAAATGACATTAACTTAGTATTCTTTGGTTTATATTAGAAACTTGCTTACCTCAAAGGTGTTGCCTGTTCCAAAGTAAATTGGCACGAAAGCGAGCCATATGATGCATGTTGTATACATCGTGAACCCGATGAATTTGCTCTCATTGAAATTTTCTGGAATTTTTCTAGTTTTGATCGCATAAATAGTGCAAGTGGTGATAAGCACCATGTTGTAGACCAGGGAAACCATGAATGAGGAATCTTTTATACGGCATTTTAAAATTACTTCTCTGCGGCTTGGGTACTCGAATCTTGCTCCAGGCTCTTCCAAAATTAACCAAACTATGGTGGCCGCAACCTGCGAGGAAACGCGGCAACGTAAGATAATATTTTAATATTTAAAACTAAAGCGAACTGAATAAGCAAGTTGAGTATTTTAAGTGAGAAAGTGATTGTTCTGGAAAAGTTTCCAACAAAAACTAATGTTATATAAATAACATAACAAATATTAATAATATAAGTGCAGTGTCTGCTGAGTGGCAGTTAAGTGCAGTGTCTGCTGAGTGGCAGTTAAGTGCAGTGTCTGCTGAGTGGCAGTTAAGTGCTGTGTCTGCTGAGTGGCAATTAAGTGCTGTGTCTGCTGAGTGGCAGTTAAGTGCTGTGTCTGCTGAGTGGCAGTTAAGTGGCATTGACGGCAAATGGTTACATCCAGCACTCACTGGTCCAAAATTAATATAATTGAAATAAATTTAGTGAATAAGTCTCAAATTACTCAAGTTTTCCATTAAAATCATCAATTGCATTATTTGATGCCATTATTTTGAACAAAACAAAAAGAACAAAATTAGGAATATTTGAGTTTCTGACTCATTGAAAACGAAAGTAATAATTAATAAATTAGTAAATAATAATAATAAATTTAATAATACTTGTCTAACTCTTACTTGTATGAGACAATTTTTAATAATTATTCTGTCAACTTGTCAAACAAGCCAAGCGCAAATATAACTTAATGTCTTAAGTTTTAACTAGAAAGTTGACCTGAATGGACACGAGGAAGCATGTGATGATCACTTGACTCTTGGGGCTGATGAAGCCAGGACGCCGCGCTGATCGTGAAGCCGAGTCAAATATTCTCGATATTCGATTTGTCTTCGTCAACAATGCCGAGTAAATGAGGGAGAATCCGAACCCGACGCCGAATCTTTGAGAAAAATTCACAATATATGATAAAAGAATTGGAAAACTGGACATTTAAGTAATGGAGTTACATGAGAACGACTAAAAACTAATAAGAAATTATTCAGAAACAATGGGGATTTAGGAGGATCTATGTCTTCAACAGGATTTACGTCTGAAATGTGCCAGTGTACGGGAGCTAACAAAGGAGATGCGGTGTAAGTATCTCAAAGATTCCAAGAATGAAAAAAGATCATTTGAAATGAAGAAGAAGTTAACACACACGTACAAGAGGTCGCTTGCACGGCGCGATGGTAGCACACATGAAAGAGAACATCAGAAAGGAAGTGTAAAAAAATCCCATGCACGGTAAAATTAAATCTTCAACTGAGAACTGCAGTAAAATGCTGTGTAGTCTGTAGAGCGGCACGCAGGGGTGATTGTTTAGAGAATTCGGTCACTCAGGTTATTTCTGATGAACAAAGGAGCAAGACATATGGCCTCCTGCTGAGGGTGAGCTTTGTGGTTAAGTAACGCATAGAAATCCACGAAAAAGTACTTCAAAATTTAAGATAAAATCTTGAAAAATATAAGCTAATCGGTTATTCGATTCCTAGTCCACTGAAAAATACTTTATTGCATCATTTTGGAAATTGACATTAAAAAGAGTTAACAACGATATTATTCTTCATGTCCGTAAAGGAAGCATTTACAAACACAAAAAGGTAAACTGTGTATGGAATTTTTTCTTATGCTGGTATCGACAATAATGAATTATAACGTCGCTAAACTACTCCAATAACTTTTCTCTACTCGAATGAAACCTGATTTGAAGTAGATGGTTTTCGATACTGGAAAGTATTACAATCTAGCAGCATCTCACCAAAGTTAAGGGAAAGCGAAATTTTTTCTGTACGGCAAGACAGAATTTGTTTGGCTGCTTCTTACTTGAGGAAGGTTAAAAATAGTGCGATGTTTACAACCGGAGGCTGCTAGCCACCAAACATGATTGATACCTAAAAGGAGTGAACATAGTTGAACTATTCGTCAAAATTAGTGGTTCTTACTAATTAGTGTCAAACTATTCGTCAAAATTGGTGGTTGTTACTAATTGTTACAAATGATATAGTAAAGGTTGTGATAGTTTTCAGTCTTAAATATTGATTCTTATTTATGGCTTGCCCTTAAATGCAGATTTTTATAAGCTAAATAAAATTTTATATCGCGAAGGCATTAATTATATAATTTGTTTATAAAAACCTTCATGCATCAGGACCAAGTCCATCTAGATGAGTTATATTCGCTCAGCGTGAAAGTAGTGAATAAGCGATTATAGCGGTTGAAACTAATTATAGCGTCTCACGGTGCAATTCATTGAAAAATACCAAGATAAATATTGACACGTCAGTGGCTTGACTGGCAGCTTGAAGTTTATTATACTTAATGTAATGACTATTCATTAAAGATCACATTATGACTAAGATCTGGCTTCGTATTTTAGCGTCAGTTCCCATTACTAAATTTTCGTGATAGTTTAAAATATTATTTCCGAAAACTTTGGTATTTTGGAAAAAGTTTTGATTGGGAAATGAGTTTGAATTATTGCAGGCGAGCAGCAACGAGAAAAATAAGAAGTAGTGAAATAATGAAGTTTTCTTGTTATTTATTCAATATTACTTTTTTATAATTACTAATGATAAATATTTTTTTCACAAAACTTCATCACGATCGTTCACCTCTGACACGCGCAGATTATCACTCCTGGAGTTGCGATGAGAAGGAAGGTGTTGAGATAACATATGAGGATACCACACAGGAGCATGTAGGATAATTCCCGTCCCGATGCCTTCACCACTGGAGTGTCATGGTACTTTAAAAAAATGCCAATCACTGTCAGAGTGAAGAAAGAGCCAACGCACGATATGGCCATGGGCACGAGAGCGAAGAGCGTGTCCCACTTCATGTAGCGGTGGGGGAGCTTGTAACAAGAGCTCATGTTGTCGTGGGGCCACCAGCCTGGGCCGCAGTCCTTACATGCTGATTGGTTCACCATCATCTCGTAGGGCTTGCAAGCCGTACAAATCCAACAGCAGGTATCGCCCTTATTAAGGACAGAGATAATATTGTAATAATAAGTGGGTAATGGTAAATGGGAGTGAATAGTGAACATGCTGACCTTATCACCTCAACAGCTAACTAACGCTTGAAAGATATGAAGAGATATGAGGGGGGGGGGGTTTGGAAAGGGGGGCAATTTACCCTATACGCTTGAATTAGTAAGACTTGCAACTGAAGTAGCTTTGATTCATAAGCAGCCTGGATAATGTAAGGCAATTGATCAGAAGGAAACTAAATTTGTCCAGAATAAGAACTGCAGCCGCAGATGTCGATATGTCATGTTCAGTACGAGATACTGAAAATTATCTACGTAGAAGTAGGCACGTCCTAGGAGAATAGATTTGTGTCACAATAATTATTTACGGGTTGCGACTGGTGAGACAGCACCGTGTCCCCACTGTTTTGGTAAGGATCTATTTATTTATCCTTGGATATTTATTACTACTTTCATCTTGGAATATTCTTGTTGAAATATTGAAGAGCTATTCACGATTATATCACCATTATATTAAAGTGTAAGTAAGTTTGTTCATTTATATGTTAATTTGTTTACATAAACCATTTGCAGTATTTTCACTAACTGACAAAAATCGAGAAGTACACATCCTGCGACGAGTTATTTCATCAATGACGGAATAGAATATGGAAGACGACAAATACGTAAATAACTGCTATTGTAGAGGTCGTCTTTAAGAACAACAGTTGTTCCTAGGCTTTTATACATCTTGTGAAGAAAACTGACTGCTTGTACATTCAGTTGCATTTTTTAGGAGTCTTTGATCCCTTATAATTGTCTATGTACTAGGGGCTTCAAAAAGTTCGTAGAAAATTACATAACTGAAAATTCAGTGAAAAGAATAAGATGCCAATGCAGCACAACGATCATGTGCCAACGTTTTATAACTTGTTGTCAATTAAACTCTTAAATTAATGTTACAAACGCGAGATTCTGCTTTAAAAGCAACAACCGTTCATGTAACAGGCATCTGCCGAAACAGAGGCCAGGTCAAACATCAAATTGATGGTGTAGCTTGGGTGGAAAAAATAACTGCAAAAACATGGTTCATATCGCATGACGCTTACACAGATGGACTTTTTACAGTAGCTGGTATCAGCGTTCACAGAAATGTACTGACATAGATAAAGCATATGTATAAAAATAAACTTATGACTTTGGCACTTTTTCAAACTGTTGTTTTCCCACGAACTTTTTGAAGCCCTCTCGTATATAGTTTCTTTAAAGATTTCTGGATGAACAAGAAAAAACATTGTATGAAAAAGTTTCGGAACTTCCTTTCCTACTTTTGGGGAAATTTAGTCAAAAACTTCGTCAACTTGGAGGTCAGAGTTTTAGAACGATGGAAGAATCTATCAAAGGAGCAACTGGAGCTGTAGAGATTGAAATTGACGAAGGAAGAAAAAGATTCGGGATTGCAGCATAACTACTAACCACAAAACCGAATAAATAAAGTGAAACTTGAGCTCAAACTTTGGAAGCTTTAAATGAGTCAAAGCTCAAACCAGTCGAGCAACAGGTGTGTTCGGCGGATAAAAAATTCCCACAGGACTGATTCTCACGAGACTGAGTTTAAAGAAACTCCTCTTTATTATGTCTACAAGCCAGTCACAATTACAGAAACTTTTAATGTAATCTTTCTGGGATGTGGCAAAGCTCAAAAACTTTTTTCATTGCCCAATGGAAATCACTTTTATCGACAATAAAACGTGCGCAATGTGCATTCATTTTTTTGTCAATTAAATCTTTTGATAAATAGTCATTACTATAAAGTACTCGAGAAAATTTAAACATTCTTTATTCATACAGCTTTGCACAAGTTTTCGATTTTATTTTAATTTAAAAATTGAATTTTTTTGGGGGAAAATTCGGAGGTACTTACGCTTTGAGACTAAAAACTGACAAAACATTACTGTAAAAATGTCAAAGAAAAGAACAAAATTTTAAAGTTTAGATCCTAAACAATCGCGAAAATATTCAACTTGAGCTTAAAATTGGCTTGAGGACTTCATTATAGATGCACCATAACTGCAAATAAGATCTTGATCTCCCCAACAAGAAGGTGACTCACCTGCTGCATGATCATGATCTCCCCAACAAGAAGGTGTCTCGCCTGCTGCATGATCTTGATCTCCCCAACAAGAAGGTGCCTCACCTGCTGCATGATCATGATCTCCCCAACAAGAAGGTGTCTCACCTGCTGCATGATCTTGATCTCCCCAACAAGAAGGTGTCTCACCTGCTGCATGATCTTGATCTCCCCAACAAGAAGGTGCCTCACCTGCTGCATGATCTTGATCTCCCCAACTTTGCATGGGTGGGAGCAAACGGAGCTCGGTGCTTCAGAGGAATTCTCAGAGAATACAACTTTCATGGGGTCCAAGTCCAGGTGACTGTCCCAGAGGCCGACAACCTGGCAGGACGTGCAAGAGAGTTTTTTTTCATATTATTGGGTATTATTTTCTAATATTTTGGGATTTCGGAGAGTCTATTAGAATTTGTCTACCTTGTCGTTACGGATTTTTTTTGCCTGGACTTTAGGCCTTTTCTTGGTTGTTTTGACACAAGCTTCCCATAATTATATTTCAATTTTTTAAAATACAGATTGAGGGACATGAGCTGTACACAAAGCAATGCCATGGCGTTTATCACGAAGAACAGAAAGAGCAAAATTTCGAGGGCCTGATGTTTAAATGGTGACGGCTTTCCACGTTTTTCTTTCGCCAAAATATCTTCAAGGACTGTACGTCGGATCAGCTTTGAAGCGAAAGAATGGGAAGCCTTTCTATTGAGTATATAAATAAAATAGAAGCAAAATCCGTAGAGAAAATATTTTCTTCATTTGGACGAGGGATTACCACACTTATTGGCTGAGCTGCTCGGGAGATTAGAAGAAGTTCTGTTTTGAAAAGCACCTTCGTCTCACTCTGATTGCCTGGTCTCAAGGACCACAAATTATTTGTAAAAATAATATTTTGAGAAACGCAAGCTCAAGATAGCGGATTCAACGTTCCAATGACCATAACATCCATCAAATATAACTTTATAATTTGTGATCGTTGAGTGTAGTTAAATAAAACAACGGACGAATGGAAATTTTTAAATAATGCACGGTTCAGAGATTAAAAAATTGACAAGTGCGCTATTGAAACTACAAAATTTTAGTACGGTAATAGTATGAAATTTTTTGCGCAAAAATTACTGTTTGCAGAAAAATCTACTAAGAGTAACATAACTTCGTGGTTTCAAAAGCGCAATATAATACAAGTCGGCTCAATGCGTGCCGACTTGTATTAAAAAATCAGATGCCTATTTATATATTAGAATATGCTGGCAAAATTTGTTCCTTTAAGCAGGTTTCATTGAAGACCAGAGAATTCGTTTTATTGACAATTTTCTTATTAGTTTTTTTTTTCAATAGATCGAACAAGATTTTTTGTTTGCACGGGTAAATCGAAATTCAGATTACCGAAGGACATTTTTATTTCTTGTTCGATCTATTGAAAAAAATAATAAGCAAATTGTCAATAAAACGAATTCTCTGGTCTTCAATGAAACCTTTTTCGTAACTAGTTATTCCCCGCGAAACTTTGTCTATAGAAACTCACTGTATAGTTGTATGTTCTGTGTGATATTTTCCTGAAGTTGTAGATGGTGTAACGCGAGGGGCCATCGCCTCGCTCGTCAAACTTGACCTGCGATCCCACGATGTCTGGCAAAACAAAAGAAGTTAAGAAGTTAAAATTGAGAAGTTTTGAGTGGTTTAGTATTTAGAGAATTATTACGAAACAGTAAAGGCGTCTATAAAATTACTAATAGTTACAATCGAGAACTTCTTATTGAAAAATTTCAATAGTGCCCTCAATTTTAACGCATAGATGATGCTAATGCGAGTTTTGAAGGTAAATGTCATTTGACCTTATGATACACTCGACGAGTTTAATTATAAGCAAAAATTTGTTGTATTAATTTACTTCATATGGAAATGCATAGTTGTGGACATCGTTAGAAAAGAAAGGAACACATTTTCTTCCTAATTTATGTACACTTGCATTAGTCTGAATCAGCCAAAAAATCTCAGGTAAAATTAAGTTATGAAAAACTCGCTAACTGATAATGATGATTATTCGAAACGATCACAATTATTCGAAACGATCACAAATTTGAGCACGAAATCTTTTGGTTCAGTGAAATACCAAGTAGTTAATTTTCAAAAAGAGGACATTTGTTTTTATACAGGTATCACTATTAAAATTTCTTCCATATTACTACTGACTGGATCGAAAAAAAAGCATTTCAATGACCCCCTAGTCAAGAAGTTAGATGAGATGTAATACACGCTCATAATCTTCTAGCATTATGAGCAAATAAATTATAGGAGGAAGACCACTTACTAGTGAAGTTGACCTTCAGAAGATACTCGCGGTAGAAATCTCCTCCATCGTATCGCCTCATCTGTTCGCACATTCCTGTCTGCCCACGACAGACGCTGTCATGCAGCGCCTGGAGCGCGTGAGCAAAGGCAAACACTCCGTCCACCACGAACTGCACCTGCTCACAAGGCACGACTTTAAAGCCTATGCAAACACTCCGTCCACCACGAACTGCACCTGCACACAAGGCACGACTTTAAAGCCTATGCAAACACTCCGTCTAACACGAAATGGGCCTGAGTGCAGTTATTGATTTAAAGCCAATGTAAACAATTATTTTATAACACAGTGCACCGACGCGTGATTTATTTCATGCAAGCTTCGGCAGCACTCCGCAAATTGCGAATTCTAGCGGCGAGAAATTTACAGAATAAAAGTCATGCCACGATCTCAGCCATCCATGCCTTCAATTATAGTGATGTTTGCGCTAATACTGGACATTAATTTATTAGTTCGATGTTTTAATTGAAACAATAATTTGTAAGACGCGAATTACCCAAGCAACTCATACAGTGAATTTATTCGATGAATTGTAATGTAACAAGATGCCACCTACATATTAATTAATGAAATTATTGATAGAATATGATATTTGATGTTAGTACAGATGCTCATGCCTTGGAGTCCTGCTGGAAGCCTTCCTGAACAGAGAGCCGGAAGTCGGGGTCACAAGCTAGGTCTTCGGTGGGACGCGTGTTGAGGTGACAGCCGAAGAAAGTCTCCCAGTACTCAACGAACCAAGGGTTGCGCACGTTACCCTCCGGAGTCAGAGACTTCATGTGCTGATTGAAGCCCTCCACCGGCTGCGTCCATTATATGTGGAATGAAAAATATATCCTCTAAGCCAAGCAACTTTGGCATGAGTTCCGCTGTTCTAACGTAAGGTTATTTTCAATGCCACGGGCCGTATTAATCCGGTTTTGCAGTTATATGTATTAGTTTCAATGTTAGTTTTAGAGACTTCGTGTGTTTTTTTAAAGTTACATTGATTATATCGTGGAGTGTTTATTTTTCTTCTATACTAGCGGACATATAAATGGTAGTGTAGTTTCTACCAGATAATTAATGGTGGACGGGTGGACCCTCCACACTTCTGTGTGCTCACATGTGAAATAATGGGCGGAAACATACAATTGCAAAGAATCAATCATAAAAAAGAAATATTATATGAACCAGTAGGCGTTGAATAAGATTAATTTTGTGAAGGCACCTTGCTGGTGAGCTCTATGGTGATGGCTCCTTCTGCGACGTCTTCAAGGCCCTCCACCAGATGGCGCTGCTTCCCCCAGCCGTCGGACCCAACCCAATGGAAGTGCCGCGCCGCCCCGAGACGCCCCGCGGCCTCGAGCACCTTCCTGTCCACGGCACACAGAGACGATCATAGTTGTGAGGGCCGTTTTTGACAGAAAGGAGAATTTTGAAAATAAAAAAATTCGAAAGATAAACGAAAAAAAAGAAATGAAAGTTAGAATTCATGAGTAATCTGAAAAATATAACAGAACAAACGAAATTGTAAGAAAATGGTAAATGATGTAAGGGGAGATAGCGAATGAGTAATGCAATAAAGGGGAATGTAACACAAAAAACAAATATAGCAAAATTAGATAAAGATTAAAGTAAATCGGAAATAACTGAAAAACAAGCAAGAGAATTCAAGTGCACATCAATATGAATTACAATCCATTGTTTCAACAGGACTCTTTTATTATAACAAAAAATTACATTAGAATTGAAATGACATTTCTTCTTTTTGAATTTCTAGCTTGTTGCGGGTGGCTTTGTGCTGCAATATATGTGTATCTTTATGTGCAATATATATTCTGAAAACGCATCAGAAGTGAGTGAGAAAAATGTTTTTGATCCCCAGACTCGAACTAAACTTGAATGTCTAAACAGCAGAATTACGGCGAACGACACCAGCAAAGAAATTCGTGTTTGAGCTTTACAAGAACTTCTACGGCACGGCTCCATGCGACCGCTACAACAATCAGCGTACGAACGTGTGTACGAGAGTCTTTAGTATTGTTGTTGATGCTACCCACTATAGTAAATTCTATCTTTACGACTAATTTATTTTAAAAGTTCGGTGATATGAGACTCACAGAATTACATCGAGTTTTAATTGGTGCAGTGTAATCAATGTAATTAGTGTTGCCTCTAATCATAGAGACACATAAACCATCATTTTTAAAGAAGAAAATGATAGTTTAATAACTGCTGTCGGAAACATATTCGGACAACATATTTGACAAGGAATATTTAAAAAAATATTTTATCTGGAGAGGGTTTTCCAAATATATTCAAGTGTGGTCACATCCGTTTTTCTGAAAATTATAAGCTATTGTAAACCAAATAGAAATGTGCATAAAAAATGGCGAATTTACACGTAAAATGCATTTACCACTCCAATGTGAGATCTTATTATCAATTGTGACATTAATATTCCCCAAAGAAAGATATAAAATACGGCTATGACATCTACGGTATAAACGGAGACCGTGAGATCCCGTCCTGGTAACGCGTTTCCAAGTTCGTTTTCTACTCCGTCCACTGACACTGAGCGAGCACAAAAAAACATGGGTTCTTGAAAAATTGTTGGTCAAAAAATACTTTGAATTGATCAAAACAAACATTGATATATTTTTCCATCTATCTGCGGGTTTTTCAGACCTTTACATGACTTCGAATTGCAAGCGACTCAAATCGTTTTAACAAAAGTGCACTCCATCAAAGCTAGGATTGTCTGAGACTGATACATGTTCTCGATAGAACTAAATTTCAGTAAATGTTTATGCTCGACATTTTCTACGTTTGGATTTGCACAACCCAAGCAAAATCATTAGTCGGTTAAAAGAAATTCATCGAACATCTCCCTCGTTGAGAAATGAAATAATTTCGGATGTTGAGCTACGAAGCAATCTTAACTGAGAAATGCCTCAATTCCCCCATTGTCAGAAATGTTCACGAGTTCGTTATATCACCAGTGACTGCTTGACAGAGATGCAACCTTGCGAAAGTCTCTAGCTAAAATTGAGTATACTATCTCTTCTCTCACAGTTTATGTGAGTTCTTGAAATTTTCCACTATGTGTAGTAACAAAATAAATATTCTATTGTGCTAATTACACATTAGTGCTTATATCTTTTTAAGGGCTTAGAAAATATAATTTTGATCAAACTTAATATTCAGCAAGGGGGAAATTTGAATGGACAGATAGCGAATGACAAATTGTAGCGGAGCGACAAACATTGACAATAGGTATATATGGATTAAATTTAAATAGAACGGATTGATATACTTTTTTCTGCTTTGGAAATTTAAGTGCGAATGAGAAAAGCTTTCTAAAAATGAAAATAAAGTCATCCTTGTAAAGAAGGGCAAAATGTTTTTTTTTCAGAACCACCTAAAAATTTGACATATGTTTTGAAAAAAATATGTCTCTGGAAAAGGATCAAGCCGGCTTTTCATTTTCGAACAGTATTTACAGACACTTTAATGTTTCGAAAGAATAGAGCCTTAATTAAAACTTATGATTCTCAATTTCCAGGACAGCCATCAGGAAATCGTATTTTGAACAGCTTTGAATACAATTTTCATAAATTAATTATCACGAGTTTGGCTTAGCAAAAATTTCCATTCCTTTGTCAACAAAAATAACACCGCACCAGACAGAATAGTAAATTAATTGATTCAAGACTCTGAAGCATCAGCCGGAGATATGAGTCAAACAAAGAAACTAAAATTCATGATAAAGCGTAGAAATCAATTTGACGTTCAATCATCAGTAGAAGTGTGTTTCATGAACTAATGAGATACATTTTCCATTATTACTTTTATTTTCCCTCCAAAAAGAAAATGGTTTATAATATTGGTCGAGTTCAGAATTTCGTATACGAGTTCTTTTCTCTGGCAGTAACTTTATCATAAAATAAGATCATATTTTTTGCGCTAACATTATTCAAAAATATTCTGGGACATATGTCACGGATGAGAATAGTAGACAATTTTTATGTGTTACATTCGATAAAAATTTGACTATAAAGCCTCATTATATAACGGTGATATAAAAAATTAGATTAGGCCTCATCTGCCCTCTCGATGTAGACGGAGTTTTACTCGAAATTCTTTCCGGGATATCCTTGCCAAATTATTGAAGAGGATCGGGGCTTTCTTAAGAGGATTTTCGAAGATAATCTCAGGACAGATCTTTATGCGCTCGCAAGCACCGGTGGTCTTGTTAGGGAACATGAATTGTAACTGTGACGAGCAGTGGCAGGATCCTTCACCACCCACAGATTTATTAAGTCTTGCGAGAAGAATTTATTGTTCCCTGTGGTCATGGTAGATAAAAAGCGAAAGTAAATGTGCAGTTAAGATCGATTTCTACAATGTGTTAGACAAGTTCGATTTCTACAATGTGTTCACGCTAAATGCTTCAAGAAAGCTTTCTTGGAGTATTAAGCGCACTGTGGTACTATAATTCCCTAATAAATGGAACCTACCAAAGAAAAATTAGGGTTCAAAAATTTATACAAAGAGGAATAATTCAATGGAGTCAATGTCGTTCATTTAATTCAATGTCTCACTGTTCGACTGCAAAAATCAAGATAAATGCGAATGCTCAGAAGCTGTTTAGATCTCCGGAAGTGCTTTCAGGACTTTAAATTTTTCGAGACAGGCTAACTGACGCTCTTCTTCTCACGCTGCCTTCTTTCATGAGCTCTTAATTAGAAAGGCTAAGAAGACGAGGAAATATTTCCGCTAAAAATGAAGTCAATGTTCAGCATGCCGAGAAATGCTCGCGCTTTTCGTGCACTTGAGCCGCCTGAGATTAGGAGGCGTCTTCTCGAGGCGTCATCAATTTGCAGCGCCTCGACCCCCTCAAGCTGAGACTCTCCATCCTTTGGACAAACTTTCTAATAACGGGACAAAAAAGACTGTGTGACTCTCATCAAGTTGCGAATGACCTTCATAAAGAAAATGGTGTTAAGCCACTGCAATGCCTCGCTGCTGGAGTTTTTTTTTTTTCACGGGGAGAGAAATTCTGAATTTAATAATATTTTGATAATGAGTTGTTAGAATAATATTAATTTGAGTTGCCAATAAATGGTTTTTGAGTCAGTAATAAGGTTAAAAAATTGTTATCCATTGCATGATTACTGAAATGATTTTGTAACTATTGAATAATGTTATTTTTATCGTATGACTTATTTACAGAACTAAGAAATATTTATTGAAATTTTGGAAAACGTAAAAGTTATAATTAGCTTAAATTAAAAAAATGAATTATTTAATAAAAAATAGGGAACTAGTTGTAATCTGTATAAAATCGAGTAAATTTGTAAAATAAAACAGATTAATCTTGTAGATGGGCATTTTAAACATGGGTTTTCGTTGAAACGCGATAAAAATATCCTGCACTGAAAATCACAACATAGCGTCATATAATGTATGACTAATCACATGAAATGAAAAATCATACCATTAGCTCGTGAAAAATAATCACGAATAAGAATAAATATTTTATTTTATACAGTATAATTCTAGCGCTTTATAGTCAACAATTTCTCATTAAAGGGTTTTGGGGGCTGTTTAACGGGATGATGAGACATTGAATGGAAGGGTATAACGGAATATTGCAACGAGGGGCTAGAACATAAAAGCATTGTGCGAGCCTATAAGGTGGTTGGCTGATGCATATTACGAGAAGTTACGACTTTTTTGATGTGCATCATGTTACGGTCATTAAAAATATTCGAAACTTCTGAAGAATGACAGAAAATTGCAACCAAATTTTAAATGAAATTGGCTCGAGATCCAAAGAGTTACATAATGTTTACTTATATTTCCCCTATATAATAACGTTTAATTATATTTATGAACATTATGATAGTATCATAATGTTTAATTATATTTCCAATGTATTAAATCATGCATGCAAGTAATTGAATAAAGAATAAGGTTATTGATTGTGTAAGATAATCTTAGCACTTACTTGGTATCATCCATTCTGGTAAAAAGAACCATGGCGGTTGCGGTGGTCTTCTTCATATGGCTTCTGAGGGCGCTGTCCAAGAAATTGTGGTTAGCATTGTGAGGGATCTTCGTAGCCAGCGCGATGCAGATGTTCCTAATCTGCGAGAGTTTGTGGAATTCATCAAATCCGGACTCTCCGTAAGACCCTTCAGAGTAAATTGCTGAAACGTAAGACCAGTTGAAAACTTGGAGGATGTCTACCAAAGCCCGTACTTGGAAGGTATCAGGAGGCACCGTTCTGGCGAAAAATTCGAACCTGTCTTTGTCAGAGAGGGCCTTCGCTGTCGAGGCAGGGCTAATCTGCGGGATCCTGAAGAGGCGGAAGAGATTGGCCACCTGTTGGCTGACGGAGCTGTAACTGCCTCCAATGACTCCTTTGACGGGCTTAGCGTGGTACTTTACCCTTGGAGGCTTCTTGTCAGAGCATTCCAATCCGGAAACGTCCATAGCGTCTAAGGACCCTCGAATGAATTCCAAAGATTGGTTCAAGGCGTACGTGTCTTTGGAGCAGGTGTCTAGAATATTAACTCCAAGAGAGACGTATGGCAACAACGTGGTATCTTTGTTTATGAGATCCACCGCGTATAACATTGCCTCGAGTCTTTGTATTCCTCGGTTGTAAATTGTAGATGAACACGAAGTTGTCTCGCCTTTTTCATGCACCGGGAATAGTCCACCGAGTATGACGTCTCCGTCTATTTTTACCCCTGATCCGAGGGCGCCTTGGAAAATATGAGCTGCAAACAATGCTCCAAAAATTGTAGACGAGGTACAAAACTTCAGCATGGCGTCAAAATTTTGCTTCATCATCACTCTTAAGAGCTTAAAGCCTCATAGAAGTGTGAGTTTTAACTCTTGAGTCATGATTTGGCTAAGGAAGTCGCGTCGCCCTAATCTCGCAGTCAACCAATGTAATTTCGTCGGAAGACTCTATGTCAGTTTTCATGGTGCGTGACAGCGGCTGACATTTAGAGTATAATGAAATTTTTATCGAATTCAAACAAACACGTTGCAGTATTTATATACTATTTCCATTTCGATGAAATTAGTTCGGACATCTGCATGACTTCACCAAATAAATAAATAAATAAATAAAGTTTGATTGATGAAATATTTTTCTTGCTGAATTGATTATTCTTCAGCAGAATTTTTTTGGCAGATGAATTCTGTAACTTACGAGCTCACTCATCTCCGTTCCATAGAGATGCATTTTGGTTGGAAAAACTTTGAACAGAATTGGCGACACGTGACAGTTTTGTGAAGTTCCGTTACTTTATTGCTCTATTCCATCGGCGACCCCAGCCGAGGATTTGCCCTAGGAGAGTTTCTCTCTCATTCGTTTCCCTTTAGTCTTCATATAAATTTACAAGAAATGATATCAGCTTTCACAAGAATCTTATTACGGTTAAAAAGGTATTTTCAATAAAATCTGTCTACCAGTGAAATGAAAGTTCAACTCAGTGTAGTAATAGCTCTTAGTCTTCTAAAAATGTTCATAAAATTTTTTTGCTTTGAATCATGATTCCACATTATAGAGGAGTAAGGGATGCACGTTGCGCAGAACACTTTTTTTTCTGGAAAAAAGTAAAACTTAAATATCACGAAGCAATTTGATTGAAGTAAAAAGGTATTACATTCCTAAAAGTCCTGCCCAGTCAGTTAACTTTACCTGTATGAGCACTGCAACTATTAAAATTGTAACCTAATGTTATGTTCATTTCTAATCTATAAATATTTTTGATGGAATTATTGCAATATATTTTCAACACCCAAAATGAAATTTGTAATGGACGCGTCGGAGCGTGCTGGCCTTGTCGATTACACGTAAGAGTATTTCATGAATTGCGTTCAACGTTCTAGTAGACGTTCAACATAATTTCTTACACCGTCCGAATTATTTCATGCTTTAATTCACGCTCATCGGAACCGAGCGAACGTGTAGCCTCGTACTTAGCTTACTTGACAATTATTTGTCTTGGCAGCAACTCAAAGAGGCTTGCCACTTGTACATGCTTACTTAAAGGAAGTTGGAAGTAAAGTTTACAGCTTCAGACGCATCGGCTTTAATCAAGAGCAGAAATAACGGCTTTGTTTACACAACTCAAAGACCAGACGGTCGATTAAGGTACGTTTTCGAAGGGTGGAGTTAAAACAATAGGTTAGAAATCTATAAATCTTTCATTGAAGATAGGATGATACAACTGAACATTCGAAATTATAAATAATAAGTAAAAAGCTATGTTCCTTTTTATAAAATACTATCAATAAGGCAATAAGCCCACATAGTGATTTTTTTTTTAAATTTAGATCCAAATTTCATAGAGACGAGGTTTTCCACCCGGCGCTCTTCTCAGATAATATCGTGGCGCTCTGATAAGTAAGTACTTCGTTGGCTCAAGCATCTATAAGAAAGGGCAATTTTTTACAATAATACATTGATCCCGGCTCAGTTCTCAGTTCCTTGGAAAGTTGGTCATCTTCAATTGTCAGCAATTTGCAAGGAAGTTATGGAAAATCCAGAACGAATTCGAGGCAAGAAAAATTAGAAAAGGATAAGATTTCGCAAAAAATGCCAATTCCATCAAATGTTTTAGACAAAATTTTATCTCTCGTATGAAGCCTCTCATCAGCTTGCAATTAATAATGTTGCACGCCTGATATAATCAGAAGCTGATGAGCTCAAACGCGATTGAAAAATAACAATTTTAAATATTAGATAAATTGATTTGTCATTTTCACTATTACATAAATTCTTTTGAAGCTCATAGATATTTTTGAAACCTTTGACAGGCTTTCATGTTGATGAAAAACATCGATTGGAGAGCCCTTCCACTGAAGTTAGACAACGCTTTAATTTTCCAGGACCGCTACAGAAGCGATGTCTCACAGCCGATTGAGCATCGATGTCGCAGCTCCAAAACAATCGAGTCCTTCCATGAGAGCTGCTAGCAGAGCTTTCGACATGAAGCTCTGGTTTTAATTTTAGTGAAAACCAAATTGACGAACTCATCAAGGCTTGAAGAACAGTTTTTGAAAACTAAAGCTAAATTAAATGAAATTATTAGAATGAATTAATTCAAGTACTTTTAGTTGAAAAATATGTTATGGTGAAATGGGGAAAAAATCGTACATGGGAAAGCTTACCTCCAATATATTGGAAAATTGTTGTGAGAGAAGCTCGCATTAACGTCAATGAGTTAAAGGAAATTCCAAATTAAAGCTCATATGAGATTTTAATCTATCATATATCATACGAGGGGGGCTCCAAACAGTTCGTGGGAAATGGATTATGTGAATTATATTTATATTGATAAAAATTATTTTCAATCATATGGAATGGATGTGGTGCCAATGAAGTAGAACGATCAAATACCAACGTGTTAAACATGCAAACTATTACAGTTGTTTATTAGAAAGGATTTTTGCGAAAATTGTTCACGAAAATGGCATAAAAACGCCTTGGGAAGCTGCATCGGCGCGGCCAATTTCACTACGACAATGCATAGCGCTCGGCAGATATGATCTGTGCTACGCGAATTTCAGTGGGAATCATTCGACAACTTTATATACCCGATTTAACCCATTCGACTCTGTTTCATTTCCAAACCCGAAGAAGTTATTGAATTTTACCAAATTTCTATTAATTGAAGCAGAAAAAAGACCTGCCGTAACACGGTTCACTCTTAGTTTTACACCGACAGACTTGAAGGCTGATATTAGAGTTTGCAGAAATGTATTGATTAAATGGAGCAAATGTTGACAAATAAACATTATGACTTCGACCGTTCTTTTAAACTAGCAGTTTAACGCGAAATTTTTTAAACTTCCTCGCACGAGAAAAATGAGTGTTTTTATATTATTTATTGGCTACAATAAATCTTTTCCGGAAGATAATAACTTGACATATCAACAATATAAGCGGAAATATGATACAAACAGTGTGTAAGTCTTGTCGTATCATACCTCACCGTTATTCATTACTTGAATTTATTTTTCATGTTTGAAATCCGGGCTCGCAAAATTATTTACAGGAGCGCTTTTCTGAACTGCTTCCTTTGACCTGCCAAGCCTGGCAAACCCTTGGTTCAATTTATTATGAGGTAGAATTTTTTATGACCGATCCTCTACTATTAAATTGAAAATGGTGGTAGCTAAAAACACCGTGCAAGGGGATTACGCAAGTGCTGCGCGGTGTTCTTTGAGTTACCGGTAGTGAAGCACATCGTAGTGTATAAGGAATAATAAATTCGGCGCTATGATGAAGTTTGATTTTTCTACGGCTCGCACATTTGACTGGCATGGCTGTTTGGAATCGGCAAGGCTTTTTCCAAAACGAACTTATGCCCGAGCTCCATAAAGGAGGAAGCGAACGGCATAAGTCCTAAGCACCTGAATAGCATTCCGTATGGAGCTCAGCCATAAACTGAATCTCTGCAAACGCGATATTTGAGAAAGTACTGAGAGGAAGAGAAATACATGGTTTTTGCTAGTGATAGAAACTATTCAAATTTTCGTCCCGCAGATGATTTCTTGAATTTCTGAATTCTGTATTGGTAACAAAATCCTTACGAATGTAATAAGCTAAAATTATAAAATTTAGAAAGATTTTAATAACATATATATTTTCAGGAGTTTAAAATCATGGTGATTCCGGTACTTTTCTAAAGTTCACATTAGTGCTATTAGGTAACCACCATTCTAATGTATATCTCATATGCTAGAATGGAATAAATTGTGGAATTGTTAATTTTTTAATTATATACATTGATGTCCATAGATAACTCCATAAGAACAGTACAGTTACAGAGAAATCGTAACAGGTTTATCGGATTTAGTTTTTGGCTAAAGTTAAAACATTCGACAGGATTTGAAGTGTATAATGTTATTTATATATGTATTTCCTCTCCAATTAAGTTAATATCTTTCTCAACATTTTAAATTATTATACACATAAATTTTCTTAGCGCACAAAAAACGCTTACAGATGACTTTACTTATTGTCAATTACTTCAAATGTGATGGAGAATTGAATGATGTAATTAGATATTTCACTCTTCGGATAAGATATAAGTAAAGAAACTAATCCACTCAATCATTTGAGGCAGAAATCTGCTACCGTTAATTTCATTGAAGCAAATTCTAGATGACTATCACCTGTCTAAGCATAAAATTTCAATAGTTTGATATTATCTAGGGTTATTTCCTGTAACTTATCTGCAATCTAGAAGAATTTCCTGTAATCTAGGTTTATTTTATGAAGTCCATCTGAAATCTAGGTAAATTTTCTGTAATCTATCTGTATTCTAGGTTTATTTTTCAAGATCTGCTGAATTCGTTGCTCCGAGAGGTGAACTCCGCCTAGGAAGTCATCGATAACCATTTGGAGTCATAAATTCTAGGAGAACATGTCCGCATTTAAGGGCATTTGGGAGTTTGCAGTAACCAATAACTAAGAGATTCATGTATCCGAGGAATCCCTTAAATAAAGTTGTCCATTGCGACCTTTGTATTGTATTTAGTCTAGAGATCGATGATAAGCCTAAGTAGCACTTTGTGCGACGATTTCACCATTAAATGAAGTCATCTAATAGAAATATACTGAATAAATTTACTGAATCTAAGGCAAAAGAAGGTCAGTGAGTTCCGAGAGTTATTTCAATAATCAGGAGAGCGCTACTTTGAAAAATTGAAGTAAATTTTTTTTTCAAAGATTGTAAAATGTACAAAAAAACGTGTCATGCTCCATAAAAACTATTTCCGGATACATAAGGTTGACTAACTTAAGTTGAAGCTGCTTTTGAAGATGATAATGCATAGGTTATTCCAAACGTGTTTTCGCATGTCAACATTTGGTGGACATATCACTATTTATGGTTACAAAGCTCGGCAATTGTACGGCAAGGAAACTTGGTTGAGAAAAAAGTAGCTTCGAATAATAGTGGGATATGCTCAAGATAAACATATAAACCTCTTCATACTATACGAGATAGAAGTCGCCAGCAGCTCGGCGTAAAATGCAAACCCAAAAAATTT